ACGATACCCAGACTTCTCTGTCCTGTCTCTGTCTCGTCTCTGTTTCAAAATGAGAAAGAATGATTTAGTATGTTATGCATTGCATGAACTTATATTATTCCGGTATATTTTTGTCCCTTTGCTTTCTTGGCGACAATCACTAAGCCGTTTCTGAGCACGCTTATATAAGACCAACACATTTCTATCAAGCCCATCGACTCTGAGACTGCTTTTGGTGCCGTCGCTTCTCGTCAAGACTCCTGTTCCTGCTGTTTTAAGCAAGTAGTCTGTGCAAACCTTACTAGTGTATTAGTTCTAGTCTAATTTTGCAGATGCAATTTTGTACTCGGTGAGTGTGAAGGTAGATATCGACCTGAATGGAAACTTTCTTGGTGCTTAGAATGAATTTTTATACTTTAAGAGGTGTCATTAACCTGTTTGTTGCAGTAGTTCTGGAGAAGCGACTGGGCATGCTGGTATTTCGTTTCTCCTGTCCGATTGTGACTGAACTTCGTAGGTATAACGGTACTAAAGGCCATACGGTTGAACGGAATTCCTGCTCGTTCTTCTTTTCGTGTCTGATGGCCAACTATGCCGCAAAGGACATCAATCTTCCTGCGTTCAGGGTATCGCTTGGACCACAGCCGCAAATTCACTAGATTACCGGCTGAATCATATCAGTTACTTTAATATATAGTCATTGATTCCTTTCGATTCAGCATATATTCGATATGAAAGCAGTGTAAGAAATTGGTTTGTATGCCTGAGTGTGTTGGTAGGCGCTTAACTAAGATATACCCAAATTTCATGACGTGCTACCTGCTTCTAACTCATGTTTTTGTCTTTTCGCACGTCACTGACGAACCTTGCGTCATTTTATTTTCTAGAACAACTTTCTGCAAATCGTAAACGAAGTTCCAGAGACTGGTATTCCTTATAGATTGCGTCTCCCTTAAGCAATGATCAGAAAGAAAACTTAATTCTCCATGAAATTTTGCTTTTAACATGAAAATGTTTATATTGTTGTAACAGATTATGTTAATATCTCCTTCACGAAGGAGTACCATTATGCAATAGGTTAGTAGGTTAGACTAAGTTATTTCACAGTTAAATAAGTATTGATTCTAGATATCTTACCGGGAACAACCGCACACTGCATTTTAGAAAGTTTCGGTTACATGGAGTTCTTTGGTTGTTGATTTCACTGTGCTCATTTCTGAGTGGCATTTGGATAGTGAATTGTTTCTGGTGCTTATATTTTTGAAAAAGTCAATGCATAATTTTAACTCTCTTTTGACTCTGCTTAAAATACGACTAAATAAAGTTTTAATTTTGTTGTCTACTTGTTTTACTCATCTTATATTTTTAAGAATACGAACCGTGCATATGCAAGATCGTTGCTTTAAGAAAAGACGGACAATTCGTCGACGTCGTAAAAAGCGGAGATATTTGTTGCGTTGTTTGTGACCGAACCGCGTTTTACGCCGAAGCTGGCGGTCAGGTGTACGATGAAGGGTACATGCGCAAGAAAGACGAAGTACGTAGCAACCTAAATCTGCAAAATCTGCCTTTAGACGATATTATTTCTCTTGATTTGAAGGAAAAAAATTAAACTTGCTTTATCTGCATGAGGTTTCTGTTTTTTAATAGAGCATTATTCGGCTTAAGAAAAAGCAAGTTCTGTAGACCACTTTTTTCGCTGATCATTTTTCGTAATTGACAGCCATCACTATTGCTTAGTCTCTTGCGATTTGTCATCACAAGCTTCCATATTTTTTTATAGCCCATGTTCCTATCCACCCTGAGACCTTCCCCTTCATACAGGCCCAAAATGTTACACTTTATATTTATTAGCTCACTTGTTAATTAATCCATACGAATTTCTTTGTTTAACGTTCAACAATTGTATATGCTAATGTAAATGATTGTCTGCTTCGACTATTAGATCAGACTGCTGCTTTTTATTGTAAGAATTTTAGAACTCCCTTGCGGGGCAGGTATTCTCATATCGCCACCACAGTTTGACTTGAACTGCTCGCAGTTGACCAGGGGCCATTTTTATTTATTCGTTCCACTTCATTCGATACCTTCGTACATAAAGATATGTCAAATGAGAAAAATTACTGTATTGCGATGGCTTTGGTTTTTATGTCAGTGACACAGTTTGCCTTCTTGCCACCTCTCCCGATTCGCACGGTTTATTCGCGCCGTCCCCTTATTTCTAGGAGTCTAGGTGACCGTTTAAGCAAGCTGCAGCTTCATGGTATTTTATCGCCTGCAGTGCATTAACACAAAACCGTAAATACCACTTCGTCGAGTCGTAAAAAAACCTGTTCGACCACCAGTGAACTGCAGGTGGTAAAATGCAGTTCAGCCGTGGCCTGTTTAAACGGTTTGTCCAAGGAAGTGACACAGGATTGCTGTTCTTACCCCTGGTATCGAAAACTGGGAGTTTGCGTTGTTAGTAAACCACTTATACCTACCACTTTTTGTCATAGCCAGGTATTTTTTGTTTTCATTTGCTTGTCACGAGATAACGAAATTTGAGGAATTGGAAGCAAGCTTCATAAGCTAGTATGATATTTTGACCAGAAAATTTGTACACTGCAGAAATGGCGTATGTAGTACCTTATTAAGTTATTGGCTTAAACAACTGGCTGTATCGCTTCTGCTCCTATGATTGTGTCAGTAGGAACAATAACAAAGGTTTTCGTTAATTTACTGCAGTGAAAGGGAATCTTATGCTGAACTTCTTGACGACGCTGGCAGTTAGCAATCAAAACCGAATCTAGTGAACCTAAAGTTGGCCAGGCGTTAAGCCGTTAAACAGAATGATTTCAAAGACTGTACAAACATTCATTCTATTTCTGGTCAAAAATTTGGCAGCTAATAAAATGAGAAGTACAAGGGAAGAGAAAGC